CTGAGTTGCCAGCTGGCCACCATTTTGATGTTTCTTTTGATGCTGTGTAACTTGACAGACGTATTTCTGAAATTGATTAGTTAATTTGGTGATGTAGCCTAGTTCACTTTACCATGGGTGGTTAATGGAGGGGTCTGGTCACTTGCCCACAAGGTGTCATGTAACCCTAGTAGGAGGTGTTGCCAGGTGAGGGATGGATGACATCACAGAGACCAGGGATTTCACTCTCCAGTTCTCTGGCTCCTCAGTGGGCCCTTCCCCTTCCCCTTCCCTTTGAATCCTCCCTACCAATGTGATGGACACCAGAGGGCCTCCACCACTGAGTGCTCCCAGGAGGGCCTGGGCTTAAGCTCAGCCATTTTGGTGAATGTGGGAATGGAGCAATAGGAGAGCCATCCATCCTCCTCTAAACTGAAAGAGGAAATTGGATTGTTTTCTAGAAGAGAGAAATAAAATAGAATAAAGAGACTTTGCCCCTGGTATTGAAAGTTACAACTTTCTGAACATTTGAAGAGGGCCTTTTGCATGTTTCTCGTTTTCAGAGAGAAAAGCAGTGCAAATGGTTTTGTGGGGAGGGCGTGAGAAGAACAGATTTTTCTCTCGCCAAGTTGGAATGTACCAGCAGAAGCAAATTATAAACTCTAGCAGCAGTATTATATTAATACGGGCCAGGCCACTGGGCTAAGCACCTTTTATACATTATCCCTTGTACTGTTTAAAACAACACTGTAATTAGGTGCTATTCTCATTTTACAGATAAGGAAGTATTGCTCAGGTTTACACAGTTTTTATATGGAGGAGCTGAGGGTTTAACCCAGGTGCTCTGATTCCAAAGTCCATGCTCTTAGCCATGAGAGTATAGATAACAGTACAGTTTCAACCCAAATACTAATTTTCTTGTGGGGTAAAACCATTATATATCAATAGTCAGAGTGCAGTTGATAAACTCACAGACTTTGTGATACCACACTGGAAAACAACAGTGTGTGAAGGTAGATATGATCAGATTTCAGTAGTAAAGACCTTTTAAGACATTTTGAAAGGGACAGATAATAAATATGTTTTTGGGACGTCAGAAAAATAAAAAGGATCTATGCTTTCAGCTGAAACCTAGTGGGAAATGTTAGAACTTATATCTCACAGATTTGAACTCCAAGTGATTTATTTATTTCTTTTCTGTGACCAAAATGTCACTCATTTTTTCCTTCCACCTTCTTTTCATTCAAGACCTCCACTCCTTTACTGTGTTACTCATTTATAACTATTTCTAGATGTCCCAGAGGGTGTCTGATGTGTTCCAAAGAAGTCTGATTCTGTTAGGCACCCCTGTTGACCTGCTCTGTTTCCTAAGCAATCCAGTCTTTTCCTCTGGACATTTTGGGCCATCTCTTGTCCACTGAACTGATGCTAGGTACAGCTGTGTCCATCTGTGTCCACCTCTCACTGAAGTCACGGTCTCTGCCCCTGTTCTTTGACAGTGATACTCCAGACTCCAGGCTAACTAGGGCCCTCGTAGTACCAGAACAAGGCCCCAACTGTGCAGAAGTGGGGAGAACTCCCAGCTTCCCCAGTGTGTCACCCTTTGTCAGTTGGGGATCCAAGCCATGTTGCACGTGCCCCTCCTGAAAACAGCACCTTTGGCTTCTGCCAGCCTGTCTTCTTTCCCTAATACTCAGACAGTGGTTGTTTGAATGAAAAGGGAGCTAGATAGCCATCTTTCTGCCCTTCCATTTCCCCTTCTCTCCATTCTAATCTTCAGGTTATAGCAGAGGCTGGGAGTTGGTCTGTTTATTGACAGGATCAGTTAAAATGGAGCATCATAAAAAATGATACATGTATATATATACATTTTAATTTAAAACAAATGTCTATTCTTTTGCCTACTTTTGATGTAAAAAGCCTTTTCTTTGAGTAGAGGGTATAAATTGGAGTTCTGTGAAGTCTTTTGTAAACCATAGCATAATGAGTTGTCTTTGTGTTACATTTCATTTTTTAAAACAAGGTAAGAATTTAGATATACTTGATAAGTGATCTGTGTGAAATCGTGGATTGTAAAAGATATTTTTCCTAATCTCTTAGAGTCATCTTGCCCACACTTTTTTTTTTTAACAACTCATCTTTGTTGAGTCTTCACAAAGCAATCAACCTAGTTTTCATAGCAACAATAACTTCTCTCCCCTGCACCCATTTCGTCAGTTCATGCACTTTATAATGAACTTACGTAATTATGGTAGCAGATATAAGCTGGAGTTCTCCCCACTTCTGCACAGGCGGGGCCTTTTTCTGGTACTACGAGAGCCCTCGTTGGCCTGGAGTCTGGAGTATCACTGTCAAAGAGCAGGGGCAGAGACCGTGACTTCAGTGAGAGGTGGACACAGATGGACACAGCTGTACCCAGCATCTGTTCAGTGGACAAGAGAAGGCCCAAAATGCCCAAGGAAAAGACTAGATTGCTTAGGAAACAGAGCAGGTCAACAGGGGTGCCTAACAGAATCAGAGTTATATCTGAGCAAACAGGACTGCTTCTTGGTGGTGTACAACCCAACTCTGGGAGCATCTGTGCACCTACCAGCTAACTGCTCTGGTGCCTTAGGTAGGCACATGGTCAGTATACTTTGCAGGAGGACTTGGGAGCACTGATGAGTCTAGTGAATTAGCTAGCTACAGGCTCATTATCAATGTCTATTGTAGAAACCTCTTCCCTCTCATAATTTGGCGCCAAGAAGGGCCTTGTGCAAATCCATTCATGTGAAGTGATTTAGAGCTTGACCTAGTTGATTGGACAAAGTAGGCCAGACTAAAAACATTCATAATCTTCAAAGCATTCAAAAAACACTGAACCTTCTTTTCCCCTTGTGGGTGAACAGGACCAGCCTGCCTGTTTTCATATATAAATAGGTCAGTTTATGTACCTCAACCATAGGATCATAGGGAAACATGGCTATTGTTCCCTTAGAAATGAAAACCACCTTTCTGGAGCCATTTCCAAGCCAGAACTTAAAATTTAACTTTTGCTTTGGTGCCACCAAGTGGTTAGTTTTGAGATGCCACTCTAGAAGATAAGGTGGCTTCACAAATGCATAAAGATAAAAACAAAACAAAAAACCAAAACGAAACCCACTTCCATTCTACATACATTTTCCCTTCTAGCTACTGGTGTTGCAGGTAACAACAAGATAAGACAGAGACATCATCTAGGGAGGCCAGCTGACTTCTCAAGCAGGGATGACAATGCTTATTTGAAGTCCCCACTTCCAGAGTCTGGGTCTTTAGCTTTGTAAGTACCAGAAGTCTTTTAATCTTTTGGTATATCCAGAGTCGTTCAATTTTCCAGGAATATGTCATACTCACCAAACTTATGAGACTTGATGGTAAGTCAGAATGCTGGTGTATTACTTTATAATTACAAATAGATATGTAATGGTAGATCAAAATGAATGTGTTGGCTGAGCAGTTCATTTTCTACCCTGTAGGAAATCTGTATGGGAAGACATTATACTGGGTAGATTTCTTGGTGACATGGATTATCCTCAGTCCTTTCCCTGCCCTTTCACTCATTTATGTTACTGAGTGAACTGGAGGGGTGACTCTTGATGCTTTGGAAAAACAAATGCAAAAACAAATTAAGCATAAGGAAAGGCGTGGCTTTTTGTGAGCTCTTACTCCCCGTTCTCTGTCTTCTGTGGGGGAATTCCTTCTCTGGAACTTGTTCCTAGCCTCCCTCTTTACCTTTAGGACCCTACTTCTCTCAATATGTCATTTCTGAGTTTATCCCTTGTGCTTCAACAAGGTGGGGTGTGGTTGAGGAAGGCACATTGACTTTGGGATCACAAGACTTGGATCTGAATCCCAGCTCTGCTTCTTACTGAGTTCAGTTTCCTTATCTGTAAAACCAGGGCAGTAACTTGCATCATAGGTTGTATGAGTGTTAAATGGGATTTTGTACATAAAGCTTGACAAATACATAAAGATAAAAACAAAAAAACAAAACAAAACAGAACCTACTTCCATTCTACATAGATTTTTCCTATCAGAAGGTAGGTACTTGATTATTACTGCCTTTGTTCCTCCATTCTTTTGGGACTTGACTCTTTCTTATCTTCATGACTTGGGTGAAGTCCAGCTGAACCTCTACCTCTGCTTTCCTACCACGTGTATTGTCTTAGGCTGGGTTCTCTAGAGAAGCAAAACCATTGAACTGTATATTCCCAAGTCTGTGGGTCAGGTGTCAGGTTGGAGGCTTCTCCTGACTCATGTAGCTGCAGGGCTGATGACCCCAAGATCAGCAGGTCAGATGGTAGGCTGCTGGCTCACGGGCTGCAGAGGCTGACGAATCCAAGACCAGCAGGTAAGATGGCAGGCTGCTGGCTCAAGTCCCAAGAACCAGAGGTCAGATGATGAGGAGCCAAATGCAAGATCTGGAGTAGAGCAAAAGGCAGTGATCTTTGCCAGAAAGTCCATATATACCTGATGCAGGCTATGCCCCTGAGGAAACTCTGTTTCAACTGATTGGCTGTTCATAGCAGATCTCATCATGGAGGTGATTATATCAGATCACATCATACAGGTGATTACATCATTACATAACTGTCAAACCATATCATAATTGCCAAACTACTGAGAATCATGGCCCAGCCAAGTTGACACACAACCTTAACCATCACATATATCATTCTTATAATAAAGCCAACTGTTTTATTTGTTCTTTTTATGTTTTCTTCCTTATAAATTCCAGTCTTTACCATCAGCGTTTTTCACATATTCGCTTTTCTTTTCATAGGCAGGACTCACTCGTAGAGACTGCCATCTGAGAATAATGGATGGAGGGTGGATTTATTTTGTTCTGGGAAATTCTATAAAAAGGCATATTTTTTGTCAATAAAATTGCTACAGTAATTGTAGATAAATTTTGTGATGGGAAACTACATTAGCTTTTATAGCAACATGTTGGAATTCTTTATGAATATATTCACCTTTTCCCATTCATTGTGTGTTTCTAGAAATAGAGCCAAGGTCAAAAGCTGGAAAGTCATCAGTAGGAAAAGCTGGGACTGGAAGGGGGACACTTCGACTGAGATCAAAAGGTCCTGCCACAGTGGAGGAAGTGGTATGTTATAGTCAATTAACTCCCATTCTGCTAGGAAATGCATGGATATTCATGTTCATTAGAGCTGGAAATAAAGGTAAAATCATGAAGTTAAATAAAATGTCATACCTACATTCTAATTAAAGCATGAGTTTTAATTCACTGGCTAATTAAACAATTGAAAATTATTGAAAACATTTAAGAAGGAAACATAGAAACTAAGTGTTCAGAGATTGTGATCTCTAGCAATCCTCAGCTACCTGCAGACAACTTTTTCTAGAGTCTATAGACATACTGACTGGCTTAGAAACATAAAAGAAGTCAACCTAAGGTATCTGGGAGCCAAGAAAAAAGTCTCAGAGCCACCTGCAGAAGTAAGCATATTTTAGAAGATTTAGTTAATGAAAGTTTCAATTCATGAACTCTAATCTTCTCAGGCAGAACATTTTGTACTCATCTTTGACTATTCTCTTTTTTTGTCCCATGTGCTTTCCATCAGCAAATCCCAGTAGATGTACCCCTGTGATATATCAGAACCAACACTTCTCACCACCTCTACCCCTACTATTCTGTCTCCAGGCACCATCATCTGGATATTGCTGTCACCGCCTGCTTGTTGCCCCTGCCTTCCCCCGGCTCTTTCAGTCTGGGCATAGCAGCCGGAATGATACCTTGAAAATACAAAGGGGGTGGGGGGGTGGATTATGTTGCTTCTCTGTTCAAAACCCTCCAGTGGCTTCTGATGTTACTCAGAGTAAAAGCTAAAGTTCTCATAGTCACCAAAATGATCTGACTCATTTCTCTCATCTCATTTCCTGTCACTCTCCCTGGCTCCCTGTGCTTCAGCCACGTTGACCTCCTTTCTGTCCCCAGACACTCTAACTGTATCCCCAACTCAGGGTCTGTGTACTTGGCATTACCTCTACCTGAACGCCTTGCCTTGCCCTATTTCTCTGCATGGCCCTCTCCTTCAGGTTTCTGCTGAAGTATCAGCTATCTGAAAGCCTTCTGTATTAGTCATCTAGTGCTGCTATAACAGAATTACAAGTGGATAGCTTCAACAAAGAGAAATTTATTCTCTCACAGTCTAGTAGGCTACGAGTTCAAATTCATGGCGTCAGCTCCAGGAGAAGGCTTTCTTTCTCTGTCGGCTTTGGAGGAAGTCCTCGTCATCAATCTTCCCCTGGATTAGGAGCTTCTCCACGCAGGAGCCTCAGGTCAAAAGGGTGCGCTCTGCTCCCAGCACCGCTTTCTTGGTGGTATGAGGTCCCATGTCTCTCTGCTCACTTCTCTCTTTCATATCTCAAAAGAGATTGGCTTAAGACATGACCTAATCTTGTAGATCTCATCAGTATAACTGCCACTAATCTATTTTATTACGTCATAGTGATAGGATTTACAACACATCAGGAAATCACATCAGATGCCAAAATGGTAGACAATCATACAATACTGGGAATCATGACCTAGCCAAGTTGACAGATATTTTTGGGGGACACAGTTCAATCCATGACACTTTCTCTGAATATCCTGTATAAACAGCAGTTCCCATCACCCTTCCCACTGCACAATCTTCCTCACCCCTAATTTTCTTCAAAGTACTGAACATCATGCAACTCATTATATCTTGTTTACTGTTTGTCTATTGCCTAGCTCCTTTGCATATACGTTTTGTTCACTCTTGTATCCCCAGCACTTAGAACAGTACATGGTACATCAAAAGAACTTAAATCTTTGTTGAATTAATGAATTAAAGGTTCATTTTAGCTTGAGAAAAGCAAGGATTGCTCTGATTGATTAGCTGTGTCCATGGTCTTTTCAATTGCCTTATATGCATGAGAAAGCTGGACGGTGAAAAAGGAAGACAGAATTGATATATTCCAACTGTGGTGTTGGCGAAGAATATTGAATATACCATGGACTGCTAAAAGAATGAACAAATCGATCTTAGAAGAAGTACAACCAGAATGTTCCTTAGAAGCAAGGATGGTGAGATTTTGACTTGCTCCCTTTGAACGTGTCACCAGTAAACACGTGATAGCTAGAAAAGGACATCATGTTTGGTGAAGTAGAGGCCAATGAAAATGAAGGAAACTCTCAGTGAGATGGATTGACACAGTGGCAACAAGCATACCAACAATCATGAAGATGATGAAGGACTGGGCAACTTTTCATTCTGTTATACATGGGATTGCCTTGAGTCAGAGCCAACTTAATGGCAGTTAATAATCACAATATAAATGCCAGTGTTTGAGTGAAAAATACCAGAAAGAGAAGAGACAAATGGAAGGAAAGAAGGGTAGAAGAAGAGGCCAACAGAGGTTAGAGGTGGCAGTGCAACAAGTCCGCTCACAACAGTGAAGACAGCAGTGATGAGGTGATTCTGTAGGAGGAGGAGAGGTTGGGCAAGCATCTAAGGCTCAGGAGCTCCTGAAGGCAGAGGCCCAGGCATTGGGCACTTCTAGTCTCTCTGTAATACTGGACTAGGTCTCCCTGTGTGTATGAAGATCAAAGGAGTGAGGTAGGTGAAAAGTTAGGTGGCTATTTTCCAGAGCTTGTTGGGTGACAAAGCCCAGGATCATTCATGGGAGTGGTTCTTTGGAGCAGAGACACTCAAGGAACCATGAGGCCAAGGCTGTCCTTGTGACTATTTGAGTCACCCAGGATGCTATCAGTTTTGAGGAATCCAGAGGAAGATTCTGAGCCAGGTACCTTGATCCTGGGTGAGTGAAAGGATTGATCTGGAGGTAAATGGTAACCAAGAGACCTGGTAGAGCAAAAAGCATTTTGAAAAATGAGAGATGATGAGGTATGTGAAAAAACCCAGGGCGGTAACTTCTGGTCATTTCAGGTCGTCTTCAGGACCCAGTACACTGCTTGGCATCTTCTGAAGGCCATACAGGTGTATTGAATGAATAAACAAACCTCAGTAGAAGAAAACAGTTTATAAGAGAATGGAAGAACAGTAAATTGTACTGACGTGGGAAGCTAGGAAAATATGAGCTCTGCTTTCCTGTCGAGGCTGTGAGGAAACATGACATAGACCTTAAAATAGCTTGCAAAGGAAGCAGGGTCAGTAGGAAGAACCCAAGCCTCACAGGAGGAGGGTCATCTTCTAATAGTTAAATGATCCATAGTATTTGTTGAGCTCCTGCTGTGTATAAGGTGCTGGAATGAAAAGGAAGTAGCTTAAGATCTATCTGGGGAGGTAGGAAAAATTTGCTTAAGGGTAAACATCTAAAATCAATTCCTATTTGCCTAGCTGGTTTCATTAAATAGGGCAATTAAAAATAGGTCACAATGAAAGGAAAAAGCTAGTTTGGTGCTAATATTAAATTTGATACAAATTACTTACAATCTGATTTCAAATACCAAAGGATTTAAAGGATTTATAGCATTGGAAACAAATCACCCCCTTATAACTTAGCACAAATTGTGAAAACTGTGAAAGATACTTCACTTTCATACCTCATAATTTATTCAATATGTGTTTGTTGAAGCAGGCACAATCCAGGTGATGGTGATGCAAAGATGAATAGGCTACTTTTCTTTAAAGGGAGAGAGGCATGAAAAGAAGCTGCTACAGACCAGTGGGATAAGGGTTAATGAAGTATGTATAAGATATATTGGTGTTGTAAGGAGGGGTGGTGATCAACTGCTGATGAGGTGGGAAAGGAGGAGAGGTCAGGGAGAGTGTCCCTGCAGAAGAAACACCTGAGTTGGTTAACAATGGGGAGAAGAGTATTCTAGGCTTAGTTGTAAGGGGGCATGGGAACTGTGTAAGCCATCGATGGAGATTGGAGTGTTGGGTACCAGAGGTACCTGGTGGGGAGTGATAAGGCTAGAGGTATAGGCAGGGTCAGGATGAGAGAGCCTTGTGGATATTGGGAACTGTGTAAGAACTGGGAGCAACGTGATTGGTTTTGTGTTTTTGAAAAATCTCTTAGTTCTTAGAGTCGCTATGAGTTGGAATTGACTCGACGGCAGTGGGTTTGAGGGAGTGAGTTGCTGGGCAGAGTGTATTGGAGAGGGTGAAGACTCTAGGCAGAGAGACAAATTAGGAAACTTTGCAAATTAGAGAAGCTGAAGGCTGATCCAAAGTGATCAGAGTGTGAATGGAGAAGAGGTGAAAAGATCAAGAGTTATTTAGGCGGTAGAATGGTAAAATATTGGTGGCCAATTGTGTATGAGTACTGATACTTGTTATGATAAGGATGAATTTACATTCTAGCTGGATAGATACACAGATAAATACCTAGGTTACTTTACATAGCCTAGTACTTAACACAGACAATTCAAAATACACTGTAATGAAGCAAGAGTTCTATATTGTGTCTGTTAATACTTTTTAAGGCTTAGCTCATGTAAGTAAAAATGTGAGAAAGGTATACTAAAATATCCTCAAGGAAATAAAAAATACATTTTCTGCAATAAAATGCATGATTTTAGTAAATTTAGAAGATACAAAGCAACATATGTCTATGACAGCATTGAAAGTAATATAAATTTCTTACAGTCTAATCATGAGTTGTACATTTGTACCTACAGTTATGTATTTAGCATCTTTGGGCAATTTCTTTTTCAGCTATGAAACCATTTAAAACCAACTATCAATGTAAACTGAGCATAAATAATAAAACATTCAATCATGTTTTCACGGAAATTATTTTTAATAATAGTTTTAGGAAAAGCAAAGATGTTTTGGTACCACAAATATATAAAATATAAGTTATTTTAAAAATTTTATTTCATTATTATATCATTCTTTTAAAATTTCTATGTTTGTGTACTTGATGGTTAAACACTGGGCTGCTAGCCAAAAGTGGCGGTTTGAACCCACCCGTAGGCTCCGGGGGAGAAAGACCTGGTGATCTCCTTCTGTAAAGATTATAGCCAAGAAAATCCTCTGGGGCAGTTCTGCTCTGTCACATGGGGTTGCTATGAGTCAGAATTGACTTGATGGCACATTAACAACAACATAATGTATACAATATATTACTGTGGGAATACAGGTATGTAATTTTGTTAAAAAATTTGCAATAAAATAAAATTAAAAAAAATAAATAATGGTATGTGTTCAGAAATGTTTTACTATTGGAGTAACCATAAAAAATTTTAAAGCCTCTGACCTGCATGATAAAAACTAAAGCCCATCTCATGGTATACAGGACCCCTTGTTGTTTGGCCATGTCTGGCACTAGATCCTCCAGCCACATGGGGCTTCTTGCAGACCCTGTAGTATGCTGTAATCTTTATCAGGCTGTGTGACCTCACATAGACTTATTGTTTTCTACCTGAACTACCCTCACCTGCTTATCTAACAACTGTTCATCTTTGGAAATGCAGTTTTTAGATCATCATCTTTCTAAAACCCTCTTGACTCTTAGAGATTTAGATTTGCTTCCTCTTCTTGTGATGCTTATGTACTTTATATATATATATTTAAAATTGCCCTTATTATTGTTACATAATTACTATATTCGTGTCTGTCTTCTCTTCTAGATTGTTAGCTACTTGGGGCTGTATCCGCTGACTTTTCATGTTTGAATCCATAACACTTAATGCTGATGCTAAATAAGTGTTTACTGTATTGACTTGTATTAAGTTACAGAGCAGGTTCTAGATAACGTTTCCATTAAAATCAGCTGAAGTATGCAACCATGGACTGATTCTGCATCAAATTTGCCCCTATGTATACCATGACATTAAAAAAATTTTATTGTAAGAAGATAATATGTTATTTCTCTCTCCTTTTATAAAGCCATCTGAAACTGAAACAAAGGCAGTTAAAAAGATTGATGACCTGCTTGAATTGTACATGGGAATTCGAGATACCGATTTAGGTAAGAATTGACTCTTTTTAAAAGTCTTGTATCCCTTAATTTGATGGACCTTAATGCTTATGTCTTGTTTGCATTAATAGCCACCTATATTTTTCAAGATAAAGAGTATTTATGGAGTGGTTAAAAGAATAATGAAAATAAAGATAATAAAGAATAATGAAAAGAATACCTGGCCACACCACTTACTAGCTGTGAGATCTTAGAGCCAAGTTAATTTTCTAAATTTTTGTTCTTATCCTATAAAATGTGAATATAATATCTATTTCATAGGACTGTTATATGGATTTAAAAATATATATGAAAAAGAACTTTATAAATGATACATATGAATGACATTATTATTATGTGATACATCAGATTTACATTGACTAAATTTCACAGTTATTATGATATTAAAATTCTGCATCACTTAATAGGATTACTAAAACCCTGTGAGCAGTGCATTAGAAATATGAAGAAAAAGAACATACTTGGTGTATACTGATAAGGGAGGATGAGTAGTTGAATTTCTATGTCCCCGATTTAGGAGGGGGATCCATTCTGACGACTCCTTTGTGAGTTGGTTCTGATGTAAGTTGAATACCTTTTTTTTTAGTTTTCATTATTAATGCCTTTTATTATTAGTATCTTTATAAATCTGATCTTTGAACATCTGTGAGTAAACATCTGAGAATAACATCAGCAAATTATGCACTGCAACATTGTATGTAATACATATTACTAATGATAAGATGTACAAAAAAAAAAAAAAACTCGCCCAAAAAATAGTTGTAAGTGTGGTTCATCGTAACTCAAATATGTCCTAAATCGAGGACTACTTGTATTTCTTATGTCATCTTTAGGATGTCAGAGTCTTGATTTATCAATTAAGACTCTAGCTAACTCCTTCTGGCTTAAGGAAAAAAAAAAAGGAAATTTATTGGTTCGCATAACTCAAAAGTCCAAAGGTAGATCTTAGCTTTAAGAATGGCTGGGTCCAGAGTTCTCAAGCTGTGCTTTGATTGTGATTTTCCTCCATCTTTCAACTCTGGCTTCATTTAAAGCCCCCATGGTATCCCCTGGAGCCCTGGTAATGCAGTGGTTAAGAGCTCGGCTGCTAACCAAAAGGTTGACAGTTCTAATGCACCAGCCACTCCTTGGAAACCCTATGGGGGACAGTTCTTTTCTGTCCTATAGGGTCGCTATGAGTCGGCGTTGACTTGACAGCAACAGGTTTATGGTGTCCCCTGGCAGCTTCAGTCTCTCCCTCATGGAGGCAAAATGACTACCATAGCTCCAGCCTTTACAGTCTAATCCTCTTGGCTTCAAGCATAATAGGAAAGAGTGATGGCCTTTTCCAAGTCACTCAGACAAAATGCTTGGGGTTGTCTCTGATTGGTCTGAATGAATCACTTGAGCCAGTAGCTGAGGTCAGGGATGTGATTAGGTCTGGGTCACATGCTCTACCCTGAGTGTCCCCAAAATACAAGGGTTGAGAATGGGAAAGGCTTGGCCCCTTCCACGAAGAATCAAGATAGATGTTCCGTTAAGGAGGGGAGGTGAGTGGAGGGTGGATGCTGGGTAGGAAAAAGAATAAATGTATATTACAGTGGTGAGATTTGTGCCTGCATGCATCCGTGTGTGTGTTTGTACTTAATACATGTTTTAAAGTCGAGGACTTGGACTATTTTGTTTACTTGCTTGCTACTAGGTACAGTAGTTGAAGCTCGTTCTTCCTTCTCTTTTCCATTCTCACTCTTTATTTTTTCTTATGGAATTTGTTCTTATTTTTTCTTATGGAATCTGTTCTTATTTTTTCTTGCCTGTCTGAATTTTTGAAATAAAATTTGTATGTTGGTTTTAGAGATGATGTCTGTAATTGAAAAAAACAACTGGTATTTTTTCCTAGCTCTCTGAAGTGAAATATAAAATTTGCATATAATAGATCATTGCTCCATTCAGACAAGAAGGTACAGCTGAGTTAATCCTGTAGAAAGTCAGTGTCTTAAAAGTCTTCACCCCAATTCTTTTGTATTTGGAAAAATATAGGGATTTACATAAACAATGTGAGCCTGTGACAGTTATGCAAATAAGTATACAAATGAGAGTGAAGGTGATTTAGAAATGGCAGTGCTCTTAAACTCAGGTTAACTAGGTAGTACTTGTTGGAAAAATAATATGATTCATGTATCTCAATTCAGTTGAGAAATTTCTAAATTGTATAACTATGAATATGACAAGATTCAGGAACAAATGTATTAATTGCTGGGTCTTAATGAGCTCAAATTTAGGAGAACCACAATTTTGAAAGATGAGAACTTAAAAGAGTACCCAACTTTAGAACTGAATTTTGGGTATAGGACTTACAGTTACTTAATTATAAATTGGGGATAGTTAAATAAATTAGTTTTGCTCTCTGTTATAAAAACATGTACAATTATATAGCGCAGAGCATTGGACCATGGAGTGAATAATTATAAGTGGATTAAGCAATGGTCCTTTAACAATCAGTTTTCTTTTACAAATTCAGGTCCCTAAACATTCCTCACAATTTCTTGTATATTGGCTAGTAATCCCCTTGTAAAATTAATTAATCAACTGTAGCAAATTCCTCCAATTGACATAAAAAGTCATTATCATTACACATTGATTAGCAATGAAATCAGTCACCTAGGGAGGTAAAGAGTAAGGGAAGTAATTATTTGAAGTATGTCAACCATTGTTAAATTAGAAATTTCTCTCATTATTCAAATATGATTAGCATGAAATATAAATCGGAAGTGTAATACTGATTTAACAGACGAATGTATTTACTTGTTTGTATTCCCAGTGTTTCTTAGTCATCAGAAATGTTAATTCAAATCACACTGACATCACGTTATTCTGTAGACATTAATGTGACTTCATATTAAAAAAAAATTTAAAAGATGACAATAAAATGACTAAAAATAAAACATATCCTCAACAAAAGAATTGGGATGTATTTACTAATTGGAAATGGAAAATAATTCAAATGAGTTTATGTAGGAAGTAACCCTGAAGATAAAAGTGCTGTGTTTTGTTGTAAAGTTAAGTTGCAAACTATGATTCTTCAACTGATCCAATGCCAATATAAGTTGTCTTGGATATTACCCATGGAGAGTGGAAGTGGGGGGAATGAGTTCTGGAAGATGTTGAGTCCTGTTAGGCTTTATATGGGATTGATCTAACTTAATGAAAAGTTGTAAAATATAAACTTCTTCTTGAATATTTAAAGCAACTGTATGAAAGTTGTATATAGAGCAATAGTATTTTCTGATGATACCAATTTAGGAGTTTGGAGAACACCCTGGCAACTTTGCAGTCTTACATTTCTGATTTATTAAGAGATCCAGAAATGTGTGGGAAGGAAATTTGAATGACAGTTTCTAAGTTATTTTTCCTATAAAATCTTCTATAGCTCTGTTAAAAGTATACAGTAATGGAGTTTTTTATAAAGATAATTACATTTCTTCTTGGGATGACTTTTCTTTATTCAGTGAATTCAAGTCAGTGAGTACTATACAAAGTTACCCTTCTCGGATAAAGCCAATGAAGTTTTGGAAATAGATGTTTGTTAAAAAAACAAAAACCAAAACATTCTACACTGGCTGTTTTTGATGTTTGATTGTTGTGTGAGTTGCTTGAAATGGGTTGATATTTAAGAATAGTCTTAGAAAGAATAAGTACTGAGGACCATGCATAGAAGGAGATGATATACAGTTATAGATTTAATGGCTAAATTAACAATGGTAATGACTAATATTTGTCTAAATCCTGCTATGTGCCATTATATAGCTTTGAAAACTGAGATCTGGAGAAGTTTGGTAACTTGCTCAAAGTCAGCTAAGAAGTAAGAGCTGAGATTTAATCCTGGGACTGATAACCAAGATTTTTCACCATGTAGTAATATTTTATACTCAAAAACACAGTTTAAGTATTTTAAAACTTAATGGAAAAATGTAGATTGGCATTTATCACAAAAATAAGTTTGTCATTAATAATACTGAGAAAGTTCAGTAATAGAAAAATGGTTCAGTAACCTTGATAGCAACTGATTTGGTTTTGGTTTTGGAATGATATAAAAGTTTGGTCTCAGTGACCACTAGAGGTCAGCACTTAGCTACTATATGTGCAATAAAAAATTCTATTTTTTAAATTTTTTTTAATTGTACTTAGGTGAAGGCTTACAGAACAAATAGTTTTCTCATGAAACAGTAGTACACATGTTGTTTTATGACATTGGTTAACAACCCCACAACATATCAACCCTCTAACTTCTCAACCTTTTTTTTTTGGTG